GCACCGCGCTGTTTTTATCTGCAAACAGGTGCTGGCGGCTGCAAGTCGAGGTTAGCCTCCGGAACAGCTTGCAAAGGGTTAATCGGTGAACGCGGGCTGCAGACAGCGTTGCTAACGTTGGTGTCATGGGTGGCAACGTGCCCATCGGTGCCGTGGCTGTGTCACGTCTGTCAGTAGTCTGCTGACCTGCCGGGCTCTGGAGTAGCCCAGCATAACCCATTAGTCATTTTTCAGAGGCCTGCTAGCCACTGGCTAACAAACCTTTTCTGAACGGAAACTCTTCTCAGGGCTGATGGTGTGTGTCAGGAAGGGCTTTGGTGACAGGGGGCAGGGACCACCTTAACCCCCCCCTCGGCAAGGATTTGGAAAAGGAAGAGCAAGGGTTTTGAGTAGCTCATCTGCTCAGGGGAGAGTTTCCCGAAGCTGCCAGCCCCAGGGAGCTATGCTGCAATTCCTGTTTGTCTCTTGTGACATTTGCATTTTGTTCTTTCCTTTAGAACGACTGCGTTGCACAGATGCTTCTCAGCTGTCCCATGGCCCATCAAGTTAGTTCAGTCGTGCTTGATTTGGGGTGTTTCTGTGCAAGGGAAGTGAAATTGGTGAGTCTTTAGTTAGTTTCTGCACTTTCCACAGAAACTAACTAGAAGCAGAAGTTCCTGATTTTCGCTTTGTGGTAAGCATGGGTTGAAAGAGTTACAAAAAGAGCAGAAACGAAGTTGAACAGGGCCCCCTGCAATTAACATGGAAAATGGGTTTTGGCCTGGAAGGAATAGGAGCGCTGGTCTGAGCGGTGTCGAATGCTCCTGTTTCAGTGGGTTGGAGGTTGGTCCGCTGGTGTCCTCAATAAGCAGCGCTATGTGTCCCCACCCTTCCCAGGAATGATGGTAGCAGGTGTAAGCAAGCCAGACCCCATCTCTCTTCATATCAGGCTCTTGCCAGCTAGCTGAGTTTTCCGGTTACCAGATTCAGGTACATGTTCAATCCTCAGATCAGACTCCAGAGTGTGTGGTAGGCAGGCCAAGCAGATCAAAGTTATTGATGTGCCCTGGATTGAGGGGAGACATGGGTTACACAGCCTGTGCGCTCATGCCAGAGCTCCTTCAATTTAGTCTTTTCTTATTTTGGTTTTAGCACCCAGGGGCTCTGCCCTGGTCAGAAATGGGCTGTGTTCCATTTTACTTAGGGCAAGGGAAACTTTCCTCAGTGCCTTGTTCTTGCCTGTTTTATTCCAGCCACCAGTACTGCACTTTCAGCTTCCTAAAGCTCTGCTGTTCTTCTTCCAGCCTGGGTGAAGATTACAAATTGAAAAGCAGTGCATCGAGCACAGCTCTGGCAGCCTCGCTGACTGATGTTTCTTTTTTAGTGACTGTTATGGTGGAGGAAGGTGGCCCCTGGACAATCCTGGAGACAGAAGCGCTGTGTTTCTAGAGCAGGTACGGTACAGACAGCAGCCAAACAAACCTCTTGTTCCGTGTCAGGCCTCTACCTTTGCTTGCAGAATGTCCCTGGGAGGAGGAGGACTGGGTTAGCACTTGGCCTTTCTCTTGTGACTGCTGACTAAGAGACCTGTGGTGTCGGGGTTGTTGCAATGTGAACTGGTACCTGTGCCCCAGTAGACTGGCCTGTGAAAAACGTTGCCAGAAAAGAGCAGCAGAGAAGCTGGGTCTCTGTGCCTGGGAAACCCCTTTCCGAGCTGTAGAGATCACGCGCAGCTCCACACTTGTAAGGTGAGTCAGCATTCTTGGGGTGATGAAGAACTGGTTTGCCAGATGACTTGTATTGATGAACATCTTTTACATCCTTCTGCCAGAGCAAGTCAGGTAGGAGGAATTACTTGGCTAGTGATTGTACAGTGGAAAGGAAGGCCCTGGTGATTTTGCTGTTTCTGTGATAGCCTGAGGACACGGGCCAGAAGAGATGTTTAACTAGCAATGGTATGTTTGGAAAAACTAGACAAGCTTTCAGATACAGAGTTTTCACCAAAAGTGGTATAATTGATGCTAAACTCTCAGCAGTTGTTCTCACCTTGCACTTACAGCGGTGACCTGCTGCTTCTGTTTTGGACCTGATGGAGGACTTGTGTGCCTGAAAGCTTGTCCAGTTCCCAGCTCTAATCTGTCTAATAAGAAATTACCTCCTATATACAAAACTTGTTCAGAAGTGGGGATGGAAATACCATATTCTGTTCTTCCCTGTGCAACTTTCTGCAGAATCCATGAGTCGAATAGCTATTTTATATTATTTCTGAACGCTGCAGATTGCCTTGGTACTGCGCCCCTCCATCCTGCTGCAATGAGTGGGAAGTCCCTGCTCTTAAAAGTCATTCTTCTTGGGGATGGTGGAGTTGGGAAGAGTTCCCTCATGAACCGGTATGTCACCAACAAGTTTGACTCGCAGGCTTTCCACACGATTGGTGTGGAGTTCTTAAACCGGGACCTGGAGGTGGATGGACGTTTTGTGACCCTCCAGATTTGGGACACTGCGGGACAGGAGAGATTCAAGAGCCTGCGAACTCCCTTTTACAGGGGAGCAGACTGCTGCCTGCTGACCTTCAGTGTGGATGACCGGCAGAGCTTTGAGAACCTCAGTAACTGGCAGAAGGAGTTTGTCTATTATGCCGACGTGAAGGACCCTGAACACTTCCCGTTTGTAGTCCTGGGGAACAAGATAGACAAACTCGAGAGACAAGTGAGCACAGAGGAGGCCCAGGCCTGGTGCATGGAAAACGGTAACTATCCATACCTGGAGACTAGTGCCAAGGATGACACCAATGTGGCAGTGGCCTTTGAGGAGGCTGTGCGACAGGTGCTGGCGGTGGAGGAGCAGCTAGAGCACTGCATGCTGGGCCACAGCATTGACCTGCACTCCAGCTCCAAATCAGGGTCTTCCTGTTGTTGAGAGAGTGGCTGCTGCTTTGGGAATGTCGCTCGAGCTGGCAGATGGATCAGAATAAGGGCGGGCAGCTCTGGGGCACTCTGAGGAGAGTGGCCACAAGGACAATAGGTGGTTTGCTCGCTGGGAAGTTGCAGCCTCACATTCTGCATTCTGGCTGGAGTTTTCAGGCACAGAGCATGTATCTGCAGGAGCGAGCTTTTAAAAGAGCATGCGAGTGTAGTCCTGCTTCCACCTCTGCCTGTTTTAGCAGGTTTAAAGGACTGGGTTAGAGTCCTTTAAATTCACTAAAGACAATAGTGGTCTGATCTGTACCAAGAACTGCCTGCAGAACAAAGCTGAGAGCGCTCTAGACACTCTTTGAAGTATTTAAGTCCTGAACTCAAAAAAAAAAAAAAAATCCCCCCCCAAAAAAAAAAAAAACCACACAAGAACACTAGACCCACTAAACTCATGATCTTACTGCCAAAGGAAAGTCTGCTCAGCATACGGAACAAAACCTGTTGTAGAGACTCTAGCCCCTGCGACTGTGAGAATGCCCAATACTAGAGTGGCTGAGACGTGTGCATCTGTTGCTTGGGATAAGTGCATTGTGTCCTGAGACTGGATTGTGCTGAGCACTGTTAGAGCTCTGATCTGAAGCAGCATACAAAGGAGAGATAGACCTGTGTTTGAATGTGGCAGCATCGCTTCTTTGTAGCTGCCTGGTCTGTTTCTGGTCTGTTTTTCCTCACCTCTAACTTTGTCTTGTATGAGTGTTATTTTGTGAAGAGACTGTCTGCTGCTTGTTTAATGTATGTTTCCCTCTTGTGGAGGCTCAACACCGAATTTTGCTTCTCATACCTTGAAGCCCTGGATGAAAAATGCTGATGTGGACACTCGCCCTGTTGTGTCAAAGGGTCTAGAGTTACTCAGGAGATCTGGAATGTGAGACTTCAGTTGCTTTCTGTTACAAGTAATCACCATGTCCAGATGATACACACTGGCAGGCCAGATGGCAGGTGGGTGGGATGTCTCCTAGGTGTGCAGGTGGCTGGGGGAGTCACGCGCGGTCAGGTGTTAAGTCCCTCGCGCGGTGTGCGGGGCCGGTGACCACTGTGCTTCGTTAGCTGGCGGATCGGTGTCTTCCGTTGCTTCAGCACGGATGTTCCCAGCTGGGTGCTGCAGCACAGAACCATTCACTTCATCACCTTTGTGTCAGGTGCAGGGCTGCTGAGCACAGTTAGCTCGTGCCATTGTCCTGGCCCTTACTCTGTAATGGGGACTCCAGTATGTTTTATCTGTAATTCTTATGACAGACTTCACCGGTAGAGGATGCCCGCTCTGTTAACTGGCCTTTGTTAATGGCTGCTGTGTTCAGTCCATTGGGGAGAGAGCTGCACTGCTTCCATCTCTGTTCAGGGTGGCTGAAAAAATGGTATGGGGGCAGGCAAGGAACCTGCTAGGAAAGGATGCCAGGCTTTGCTGATCCCAGCTCCTGCCCCCTGCTAGGTGTTAGTCACAAGCTATCTGCGTAGCAAAGGGATGAGCACTTGCTGACTGCTGTCTTTACCATTATAACCTCGTGTCCTGCAACTTCCCGTGCAAGCGTTCATCCAAAACTATGACTTTGCCCATAAGCACATAGGAGCTGCCACGGGAGAGCGTCCCCGAGTACCCACCTGCTAGCTGCTGAATCCACTTCCCACTGTGAGAGCTACTGGATGGTAAATTTTGTAGCTCAAACCGAGCAGCCTCACTTATGCTGTGCTTTAGAGCAGGGCAGTCTCTGCCCTCATGCTGGCTGATAGCAGCTAATCCCCATTGCGAAGCAGTCTCTGAACATGCAAGGAGCCTCCTCTGGGGAAGCTCAGGGTGACCCTGCCCTCCTCTGCAGGGCAGCCACATGTGGAAGGGACTGAAGCTTTAATGCAAAGTGCTTTAGAGGGATCTGATTTCTAAACAGGGCTGAACACTCATATGCACGGGGAAAGATAGGGAGTCCTTGTGGTCTCTGGAAAACCAGGTCCCCTGAGGTATAAGAGAAGGCTCCGCCTCTGTAGGTGCAACAGATTTTTACAGGATATTAAAGTTACTGTTTATTTACCAATGTCTGACCTCCTCAGGCCTCTAGATTTTTCTTCAGTTTAATACTGCTTCATATTTCCTTCAAGATCCCAGACTCTGTGACCTGTGGTTCTGACTTACATCTCCGAACAGACGCGTTCCCCTGGAGCTGGTTTGTGCAGAGGCCCAGGGACAGAACACGCCCAGGCCCTTGTGTGCTGCCCGGCCCTGCCAGCGGGCTGCAGAGGGAGCTCCTTGCAGGTGGAACCGCTGCTTCCCCAGCGCGGATCTGTGGGGTCTGTGTGAGGGCTGGCACCTCCTGTGGGAGAGGGCAGAGATGGAGCAAGCCGAGGGGCAGGAGGCCCGGGTGCTGCCCGCTGTTCGCAGTACCCTAGGTGCGTGTTGGTGCTGATACTGAAGCTCACAAACCTCATTGTGCACAGGCTGTGCAGACGGTATGTATTGCTGGAGGCTGTTACACAGCATCCTTTATTCCTAACAGACATTGGATTGTTGACTTTTTTTTAAAAAAACCCTATTTTGTTATGCTTACGTGGTTTAAAAATCCATTAAAAAAAAGAGTATAGTACCATATATTTGTTTAATTTCTTTTAAATCATACGCACAATTTCCAAAGGAGCCAGGATTTTGAACTCTTTGTTGCAAAGTTCAGTGCCCACAGCCATCCCCTCGCTGTGTCCACTCATGCTGCTGTGGTTGTCGCTATTGCTACAGAACTGGAATTGTAAAACGGAGATTCTACTTTTATTTAAGCAAATAAAACATGGATGTATTCAAGCGAATTTGGGAAGTGGCTGCCTTCTTGGTTTATCAAAGTTCAAGTCTGCTTCTGTTCTCCTGAGGGGTGTGGAACTGGGTTGGTTATAGCATCTGGCAGAGAGAAATCACTAAGGGATCAAAGGGGTTGGTTATTCCTGAGTGTACCTAGCTAGACCAGTAGTTGAGGGAATATAAATTATTTATCAGCTGAATCCAGTGACCAGTCTTGTCTTTTCAAGCGTGTAGCAGAAAACACTCTAACTGAAATATTCCACGTTGCTTGCTTCTGTCACTACGTTTTAATTTCCGGCCTGGGCTCTCAGCAGCGAGCCAGGTACTTTGATTTCTTCCTGCAATCTTGGAACTGGTCCCTCGGGCTCCAGGGGGTTGTAACCAGGCATGATTTCCACAGGATGCTGAGACAGAAATCAGCATATGGAGACTGTTCTCTTCTGCTGTCCTGCCAGGATGGTCACTTATTTTGGGAGGCTTTCACTGCGTTCGCAGAGTCTGTGCCTGCTGTTTCTGTTGGCAGAACTCTTTAGTTTCTTTTTCTCCCATGTCTGCTTGCCTATTCATGCTTCCAGAGGCAGCACAGGTTTTCAAATCACTGGAAATCCTGCTTTTTAAATGTAGGCTTGTTATAGAAGGGTCCTGGGACACCCTCTGCCAAGTCACGAGGTTCAGACTCGACCCCCTTGCCTTCTAAAATTCCTCTTAGAGAGGAGTCTAGGTGCGGCTGAATCCAGTCTTGGCCCACAGCTGTAAAGAAGAGTTCAGACCCTAGGTTCTGCCACAGAACCTGTTTGTTTCAGGTCAAGCTGGGACCTTCCAAGAGGGACCCCGAACAAAGAAATCCTTGGGCAGTTATACTCTTACAGTCTAAGTTTTGCTCCCCTCGTGTGATGGTTCAGTCCAGTAACAATATTTGGGTCTGAGGTCCTTTTTTTCTTCATTGGATGCTTTTTCTGTCTCCATCTTTTCTTATCTTGACAATGCAGCTTCTGTTGGGAATATGGGCACCGTATTTTCTGCAGGATGCAGTTTCCGCTGAGAATGAGGCTACCTTATTTTTCCCAGTACGTAGCTGTCTTGAGGCCTCCCTTCACATGTTAAGTTCAGCACAAGTTCACTACTTCTGGTCTATGGCTTCAGTAAATCTAACTACTCATGCTAAGCGAGTTATGCTGAGTGTTATACTAAATCACACAAAGTGGTTCATTCCATGTAAAGCTTACTTGAGCTAAACGACTAGTATTCCTTACCACACGCTAAGTGAAGTCACTCATGCTAGTCAGAGTCAAACAAGTTTCGATTCAGCCTAAATTTAAGTGGTTACACAATTAATTCTGATATTCTACAAGTAAACTATTTTAATCCCCAACAGGGCTGGGGTATCTGGGGGCCTCCAGCATCTTACTTCAGCCGTTTCAAAACACAGCTGAAAGCAGTCGATGCGACCTAGTGGGAGACAGTCCCAGCCTTGGAGGAGTCGTGGGGGTTGGGTGAGACTGTCTCACATCAGCGAGTGTCTGTCTCCAACCATCAGAACCACCGACTCCCTTGATGTGAGATGTCTGTAAGCAGAGGCAGGAGCTGTGAGGCTGTTCCCTCATTCCCCAGTTTGATATTGCCAGCAATAGCAGAGGGCTCGGTGGGTTTTGTCGTGGGTTGGGGAGAGCATGGATTCCCTGGAGGGCAAAGGAGTGTCTCCAAAGGAAAGCAGTGAGTTGCTTCCATGTGGAACAGATGCTGTAGGGTATCCCTGTGTGCTTGCAAAGCAGGGGGAGTGGTGGGGAGTCTCCTGGTCCCATCCATCCCTCTCTCCCACAGCTTTCCTGAGGATTTTGCTGCCCTGGGCCAGATAGTGCAGCTGCAAGGCTGTGCAGCTGCTTGGTGGGCTGAGGAAACGGAAATCTTCTCTAGAACCACTAGCTGAGGAGCCCCTTTTTGTTCTTATTAATCTTCCCCCAGAACACTCAAAGGGTTTTCACTGGGCCCATTTACAAGGCCTGTATTAGAGTCAATGCTTGCCTGTCAGAGCCCTCTCGGAGACTTTTCACTGAAACGTTTTTGCAAAGTTGTAAGCATAGGTAATGTATTAAGGCAACAGGTGTTACAAGTTCAGAATTGCCATTGATGAATGCACGGTCTCACACAAATATAAATGCCATCCCAAAATAGCAATGTCTATCTCTATTGACTACCATTAACTATATATACACTACAAGTGAGCACTACAATAAACAGGCATAGATTAAGTAAGCAAGCATGGGTTGAGTAAGTGCTACAGTGAGCAAAATGATTAAGCATCGCGATTCTCACCAAGAAGGCGACCCTGCCTGGGGAGGAGAGAGGTCCAGAGCTGTCAACCCGTCCAGTAGTTGGATTTCTCACCTTCAAACCAGAGGATTCTAAAAACTAATTTTACAGCTATTGACGAGGTGGGACTGAGCCATATCTTGTGTGCTGATTGGCACCTGGCAGGCTGATAGCGCAGTCAGCTGCAGGGGGAGGAAAGCCAGATGTGGACTCCTCTGGTATT